GTATTTTTCTTAATATGTAAGTAACATTTAAGAGAGATAGTGAGTTTAGAACTATATAAAAATGAAGAAGAATTAATCCTGTTAAAAACAAACAGGAAACACCTCTGAACCACTGCATGAGAATCGTATGGGAGGAGAATTGACAGTAAAAATCGGTAGAACATGGGGACAGGGATGAGGTCGAGGCTATGTTCATTGCTGAGCAAGGGCAGGACTGTTATATGGTTGTGCACTTCTGTGTGACGTAAACCTGAGGCTCAGGAGTATAGAGAAAGCAAAGACATCTGTGACCTACCTGCGTACATGACTGTTGTATAGCTGAACCATCAATTAATGCAGTCATCCTTAGCTCTAACTGAGGGCCAGTTATGTGCTGTGAACATAGAGTAAGGAGCCCTCATCAGTGAGAGCCAGTATTCTTAGGAAGTGGTGAGGCTTCTTCAGTGACTGAGCGATTTCTTCTTGGCGTTTAAGGTAGTGTCATTTACATAAAAAACAAAGCCAAAGAGTTGAATTCTGTTGTTAGCAGAGATTCTTTTTCCTTCCTTGATTGATTTAGGAGCAAAATGCTTACTCATCGTTTTATTCTTGGAGTAGAGGCAAACAGCAATTCCAGATAAATGTGTGGAATATGGGTTGAAAGATAGAAGATTTTACCCATGATTATTGAAAGTGGTTTTGAGCAAGTAGTAAATGCATCATTTATGCATTAATTCATTTCACATTCATTTATTGGATGCTAAGTGCAAGGCACTAGAAGCTGGGAAGGAAGAGAGCCTTCCAGGAAATAATCTGAGGTCAGACTTCCCTCTCAGGTGGCCAGAATTGGGCCCAAAACAGGTCTGGCTCATCCTCTATCAATTATGATTATTACTATTGTTTTTTTGACTCCCTGTCTCCAGGAGACAGTGCTGGCTTCCCTTTTTGTTTGTAACTGTCATGCATGAGTCATCTCTTCACTGTAAGTATTGCAGAATCACATATCACATTCTAGTTTCATTTGTACTGCGGCCAGGGGCTCAGCTGGCAGCCCTTTTGGCCTGTCTTCTAGAAGTCTTCATAGTCAGAACTGTGAGACCAACTGCACAAGTTAATTAACTGGGGAATGGAGAAGAGAGAGAGTGTCACTTTTTTCTATCCATTTTTGTTTGGTAAAAGATATATTTAAGAGTGGTCAGCTTCTTCCTAGGTGCCAGTGTATCAAGCAGTACCTACCATCAGAAAACCCTGAATCCATTTTTTAAAAAAATGAATGTGCACCCATGAGCAAATAAAGTCAGCTGTGTTTTAGAAAGAATATTGGTTTACAAATGGAATTGGCAGCTTTGGCCAATGGTTCTGTTGCACACACAAAATGATCCTTTGAGGAAAACCTGGAAACTTATTTTAGAATTTTTTTTTTTAGATGGCTTTTTTTTTAACCCCCCTCCCATCTAGGAACCATCTTTTTTTTTTTAACTTTATTGGGGAACAGTGTGTTCTTCCCAGGACCCATCAGCTCAAGTCAAGTTGTTGTCCTTCAATCTTAGTTGTGGAGGGCACAACTCAACTCCAAGTCCAGTTGCTATTCTCAATCTGGTTGGGGGGGGCGGGCGCAGCCTACCATCCCATGCGGGAATCGAACTGGCAACCCTGTTGCTCAGAGCTCACACTCTTGAGCGAGCTCTTAACCAACTGAGCCACCCAGCTGCCCCATATTTTAGAATTTTAAGAAAATGCATTAAATAAACACACAAACAAAAATTCTTCCTGATGGGCCAGCCAAGTGGCTCAGTTGGTTAAGAGCTCACTCAAGAGTGTGAGCTCTGAGCAACAG